ATTAAATCTATTAAAAAATTTTGTGTAAAGGTGTGAGTCAATAATGCAATAGGCTATGAAGTGAAGCGAAACGAAGGCCTTGCAATCGAACAGACAATGTTGGGTGGGTTTGAGGTGCTCAACGGCTGTGGATGGTGGATAGGGGCCGGGGCTGTTGGAGGAGGGTGGAATTGTTTTTTTGCTCATTAGAAAGAATGACGAAGCATGATAATTGATTGGCTAAATCTTAGTCTAAAACATGTAACTCTGGAATCCACCAGGAATATATGAGGAAACCTCAAGGTTTATTGATAAAATTGGAATAACAAAACGTAACCCTAACCACGAGTAAAATATGTTTAAATACTCCTAGAAACTTTAGAAATAACAAAGGAATTAAAATAGAAAAATAACAACGTTTTCAAAAACTGTAAAAACTTTAAAATTGAATTTCGGGCTATTAAATGATCACGGATGCCAAAAAAAACCCATACATCATGGTATAACAATGTGTTTTACTGGTGACATCATTCTCTTCAAATCGATGGGTCATGGGCCCGATTCTGAGCTCGGAGCCCAAATCTGCAGTTTACCCAATTTGCCTTTGCGTGCGCGTCGCTCCAGCTCCTCTTCAATTGCTTCCGCCATCTGTTCTACATCAAAGAAGGTGAAAATATTGCTTTGCCTTTAAATTTTATAGAAAATGTAACACCATAACCAATGGCATACCTACAGAGGCCCAAGGAGGTGCAGCTAAACCTTGAGGTGATGGAAAGTTCCCCTTTCCCTAAGTCTGTTGTGCACTCTACCTGTTCGACAAAAGGTCTGCTTTCCTTGCGCCCTTTGTTGTGCAGTTGCATTGCGCGCTTGTGTGTATATATATATATATATTAATTCCTTGCCAAAACAACGTCATTTTGGACCAATAAAAAGAAGAAGAAGAAAACTTTGTGTGCTATAGATTGAAAAGGAGGGAATCTCCTTAAGGAGATTTTTATTTTTTATTTTTAAATGAACCATCTTAAGGAGATGTTGCTTTTTTTTTTTTACAAAAAAAAAAAAAAAAATTCCTTTTCGATTACGTCCCCACCCACCAATCCAATCCAAGTCCTTATAAAAAGATCATCAAATTCATAAATTTTATTTACGTCTCCACCACCAAGTCTTTTTTTTTTCTTGTTTTCTTTTTCCTTTTTTTATTTTGAGAGAACTCCAGTCTTCTATAAAAACAGATTCATCAATCAAGTTTTGTGCCGAGAAAGAAAATATTGTATCGATCAAGCTTTCAAAGTAAGTTCATCAAAATGCTGATGTCTTTTTTTCTTCTTCAGTAACCGTCCTGTCAATTTCATTTTTCTTGTAATAATATTTGGCCTTTCAAATATGTGGTAGTAAAAAAAATTATTATAAAGCTTTTAATCTTTCAAAATTGCACCTCCACTAAAAAAGTTCTGGGGCCGCCACTGGCCATAACCAATGGTGCTAACAGTAGTGGAGTTGAGAGACTACATCTAGCCCTTTTGTGAATTAAATGACTAAAATGCAAACTGGGTACAAGTTGAGGGACTATTCCTCCTAAAACGCCTTTGTAAGAATATTAACTAGTTGAGAAGTGGAAAGAACAAACTGAACTATAAGAGACCATTTCTCTTGCACATTAATTGGAAGCTGTAGAGCTTCTTATTCAAGTGTAACTGATTCTCTGCACTTTTCATCATGTATTTGTGTTTTAATTTTTGCTACAACACCTTAGCTAATGTCTCTCACATCACAAAGTACTTCTAGGATTTAAAGAGACATAATCGAATGGCAAAGAATGCCCACAAATTTACTTTTTTCCAAATTTGACTTTAACAACTTCAGGTTTATCTCACAAATACTACGTACAAGTAGATATTGTTGAGCCAATACATCTTTAATTAACCTCACATCGCCACACCCTAGAAATGTTTGTTCCATTGAATTTTTCTACTTCAAACTATGCATTATGCATAGTAGTTCTTATAACTTCCGTGCTTCCAAAATGGTTCCCGTCTGGCCCTCAGACATCTTTAACAATGTGGCTCTGATACCAATTATTGTGCCACAAAACACCAAACTTTAAGGCAACAATCTAAGATAACCTAGGAATCAATTGCAAAAAACTTACGCCTAATAATCTTCGATTGAAATATTAAGAGATATAAAACTAGTTAGGTGGATTGTTGATGGGTGAAAGGGAGGTGCTGCGAAAGACGAGAGGAAGCATCATTATCAAAATCAAAGGTGCTGCTAGTTCTTTATGTGAGACTAAGATGGGTGTACAAGTCCTTGTAGAGGCTTCGACCAAACAAAAGGTCCTACTGGAAACTTCGACCCGAAAAAAGGTCCTTCTGGATGTTCTTAAAGGAAGCATGCATCTGTTTGAGTCCTTGCAAGTCAAGATCCTGAAGAGGAGCCTCTTGATCTTGATCTTTTGTCTGCCTCTAGTCCTCTTACCTTCCATAGCTGGCCAAGGTTTTCAATAAATGGAAAAACTCAAGGCAACCAAAAGAAAGGTTGTGGACAAGAAACTAGGGATTTTCTAGGCTGAGCTAGTGAGAGATTAGCTTTCTGGGTTTACTTGTTGCAGATATTCATGTAGAAGAAAGAAAGCCTTGTAAATTGAATTGTACCATGCCATATAGTATCTCTATAACTTGTCATTTCGATTTTATACAGTTAAATGTAAGGACAACCAATTTTTTTTTTTTGGCAATTACATCCACATCAGTTCGTTCGTTTTCAGTCCCATATTATGTGTGCTATTAATTACTCTCTAATAAACGTGTCGTGTTTAAGTTGTCAATTCGTGACTCCTTTGATAAACAGGTCGAGTAGACGTGGGCTTAGCTAAATTGGCTAAAGCGGATGTGCTCCTTGTGGGAGCTTTTTCGTTCCAGCAGCTACTGATGGGCCTGGGTTGTCGTAAGGAGCAAATGGGTGAAATTGCCCCTTGAATCTGAGTTCAAGAATCAAACCCCAAGAGTGTTTCGAAAAATCAAACCCCAAGAGTGTTTCGAAAGGCTAGCGAGTCTTAAGAAGCACCTTGGTCTTCTTCACCAATGAAACTAACAGTTGCTTAGAGATAAATATTATGGCTTGGCATGAGAAACTTGTGGCACGAGAGCTTAGCATTCGTGAGTTTAGCATGAGAGAGAGAATACTTGGGTTTCCTATGAGAAACAAGGGTTTGAAGGCAAGGGGGAAGGGATTTTAATGGGATTCGTTGAGGGGAGAGAGAGAGAGAGAGAGAGAGAGAGATGAGAAGTGGGTGTTTTGAGCAATTTTCTGGCAACCTGACAAAAGCTTGGTTAAACTCTAGAATGGCTTGCCATAAGAGAAAATGAGAGAAGATAAAGGAATAGGGCTCGAAATTGCAGAGGTTTAAGGGATGAGAGATGAAGCTTGCTCTCTGGATATGGGTTGCTTGCCTTTTTTTGAGTTGTTTTGCTGGGTAGAAGGTACCTCCTTTTTATAGGCGCTGGAAGCTCTTTCTTCCTAAGAAAACCCTAGTTGGTTCTCTCCAATTTTGCCAAGTCTTCTCCGTCATTTCATTTCTCTTCCTTTGATTCAACCTCTTTTTATGAAATCTCCCTCAATCCAAATACATAAAGACAAGATTTTTGGGAGCTCTAGAGTTTTCCGCAGTTGTCCCTTGGCAATCTCCTATATTTGGCTACCATCTCTCATTCTTTCCTCATTTATTTCATGGCACAAGAGCTGGTAGGAGAAATGAGTGGGTAATGGCACTGGTCTAGAGATGTTTTGCTCAAGTATCTTTTGGTTTTTTGGATGGCTTATGTTGGGATTTGTCTTTGGCCATGTGCTGGAGATTCCCCGCAGCCTGCATACATAAGTAACCTTTGGCTTTTGTTGTTGTTTTGTCTCCAGCCATATGCTGGAGACTTTCATATATTTTATAGGTCATTTGGGCCATTCTAAGGTGATGGGTTAACCCATTAAGGGAATGGGCTAATTTTCCTAGAGTATTGGGCTAATATTCCTAAAGTATTGGGCTATTTTCTCTGTTTTATGCTTACGCACATATTTGGGCTCAAGAAATGGGCTTGAGTTTCGGGCGTCCCAAGCAGCCTAAAACTTCCATTTCTCGGCTCATCGACGGGCCTTATGAAAACTCATAACCATCCATACAACCGCTCAGCAAGCCCCAGGCATTTGCGTGGCTTAGGCCCACTTAAGTTTGTAGCATGACGTGTTGTTTATTTGCTTGGCGTGGCACGTGTGCAAACGCATATGATGAACTCTTGCGTACCCAAGTTGGGTTTCTTCCCAAGTTAGGTGTCGTACTGGGCTAGAAATATATTTAGGCCAAGCCTTGAATTTTTTGGGCCTCAACACTCCCCACTCTGCACCCAAATTCGAATCCCCTCTTCGTAATTCAAATTAGATTAGAATATATAGAATATTTCTTGTATAGAAAAGATTAAATAAAAAACAAGTCTTATTCAGGTTGGAGATTTCGAACCTGTTTAATAGCTCTACCCCTATTTGGAATTATAATTAAGAACATTTCATTTTCGTTACCATGAACTTGTTTAGAGGCTCTAATTATATATTAGATGTTCAATCATGAAATTTTAACACTCAATGCTCAATGTATCTGTTCAAAAATGACATTTAAGGATGATAATATTTTATGGATGAAGAGGAGTAAAACCAAGTACAAAAATCGGTCTAGTTGTCCTAAAGGATTAGGCGAGCCTCTCTACAATGGGATTTAGGTCCCAAATCTCTCCCAACGCCTGTCTAAGGCCAGACCAAATCTCTCCCAACGCAAGTCATTGCTTCTTGGTTCAAGACCATCAACCAATAGTATTATCTTTGGAAGGTATGTCTGAATAAGTCCAAATCAACGGATAAACATATACTTTATTAATCGATAGAACATGTACTTTGTAACACCACGGGTTATAATCTTAAATAACTAGAAGCGAAAAATTCTCTCATGAGAATAACAAATAAAAAGAACAATGAGCAGTTTAATGGGATTGGGAATTAGGATTGGATCCTACTGTTGCATGGAAGGGTAGTGCTGCAGAAGAAGAAGCAATGCCATTATCAAAGTTGTTGCTACCGCTCCCATATCTGAGCCTGAGATGGGTGCACACATGATTTACCAATCCTTTAAAGGACTCATGAATTTTCTTGACACCTTGCGAGTCCTGATTATGAAGAGCAGTCTCCCACCAGCACTGTTGTTCCCCACTTCCCTTTTCTCCTACCAACTGTTGCAGCACCTTGCTCCGCTCTTTCACAGCCTCAAGCTGCCCTACCAGCTCATTATGGTTCTCGTTCGCCTCATAGACTCTTGCCTGCCGGTACACCTCCAGAATGCCATGAGAGATCCTCTCATCAGCGTTTTGATCAGCAACAACATTTAGAAATCGGTTCGCCACATACTCAATAGCAGGGCTACCATACGAATAAGGTTTTCCTTTTGGGGAAAACACTACAACGCCAACTTCTGCACCGCATAGAGCCGCTAACTCACTAGCTTTCTTGTATATTCCGGATCTCCGTTTTGAAAAAGTAATAAGTCGATCATCTTCATTTTCTATCTTCTTGATATCGATCTTTTGCCTGCCTCTGGTTCTCTTGCCTTCCATAGCTGATAGCTGGCCAAGGTTTTCTCTTAATGGACAAACAAAGGAGAGATTAGCCTCCTAGGTCTACTTGTTTCGTTTTTTATTTTGCCTTGGTTGCTGTTGTTTACATAGAGAGAAAATCCTTGGCAATTAAATGGTATTAGGTCATATTAGCTCTGTATAAGTTGTCATTTTCCCAATATACACACTCGAGATAAGAGGAACAAATTGTTTTTTGGTTGGAATTTTACTTTTTCTGTGAATTCACCACTATAAATTATTTATTTTCTTTCCTTCTTTCTTTCGTTTGCCCAACATGTCTTATAGTGCATCGTATTCGGTCCATATATAACTTCTATATATAAATTGTCTTTCCCATTTTGCACGATCAAATCTAAGAACAAATTTTTTTTGGTTCACACCTTATTTTTCTGTTAAACTTTATAAATGATTTCTGGTATTTACTTTTCCTTCTCTTAAAATGAACGTTAATCCCTTGGGCTATCAGATACTACACACACACACACAGATGGTGCTGCGTCCTGATGGCTTTAGTTTTAGCGTTTTTATTTGTTGCATTAATTGGGCCACTCCTACTATCACGTGCACTTGGGGTGAGCAACTCTTTTTTTTTTTTTAATAATATATATATTTTTTTATAATTTATAAAGGAAAGATTTCATTCATAATTTAAAAAAGACATACAAAGACTGGTACGAATACAGTAGCTTTATTAAAACATTCTTAGAAAAACCACATGGGACAAATCCCAGGGTAGGAAAGAATGCCACACATACCATGGACTCACACAATCCTAAGAGGTGACCCTCGAGCCACGAGAGGCAATAGAGCTAGATAATGTACCTACAACCTGTAAAAGAGACACACCCCCAACATGGTAGGAGGTGCGTGAGAAGGTACCTTCCTAAAAGGAATATCCCTTGTAATAGGTCCTAAATCCGACACAGGCAGAGTTGGTGTAGGTGGTACCAAAGGAGAAACATCATCCCCGATGACAATGTGATAAAGTATGAGACGATATCACAGTATTAAATATCGATATTATCGCGATAATGTCGTGGACGATAATAGAAAAATGTTGAAAAGTCTCCATATTGCGCACAGAGGGATTCGAACCCCTCCCTTTCTTATCAGCCACAACGCCTTATCCAAGGCAACTGCGGCTTTATCCAAGGCAGCTGCGGCTGAGTTTGTGTTTTTATCTTCAGCTTGTAATATTTATAAGGTCTTTAAAAATGTTCGCAAGCTAATATTATCTAAGTTAAATTTCCATATTAAAAAAATTCCCTAAGAATAAATTTAAGCATATATTTAATGTTATTTATTATTTTATAATGGACTAGTAATTTGTTGTTGTTATATATTATGGAGTTTTAATATTGTTCATTATATGTGATACTAAGTTTGAATTTTAATAGGAATTCTTTCTATGTGGTACTAAGTTACTCATGCATTTTATCTTTGTTTTTATGGTTAAGCTGATATATTTTATCATATGTATCAAGTGTAATATATTCAAGTAAATTATTATAACTAAAAAATTATGGTGCGTTTAATTTTCTTTCACTAATTACTACATATTTTCTAAAGTCACAGTGTTTGTCAGGTCACTACATAATCAACTTAAATCACTCAAACCCATCATGCCATGCATTTCCTTCCAATTTTTTGTGATAAAATAATAGACAATTAACTAAGTAAACATCCTCTAAAGTTTCAATAAAAATTTCCAAGTTTTTCTCATAGTTTCTATGATTTTTATTCAATTTTTATCGATATCAATATATCCGTGTTTTTGGACCACCGATATTTCCGAAACTCCCGATATTTTAGACCTTGGGCGAGCTAAAGTCTGCAAACTCACCCCAATCACGAGAGCGAGAGCGCAAGAACGATCAATAGGACTACCTTGAGCACCCGAACCATCCTGTGAAAAAGTGCCATAGCTTCTGAAAGAAGGGGAAAAGCTGAGGATCGATGACCCAAAGAGCCAATAGGTTTATCCTATAAATTAGTAGTACCTTCCAAATCAACAAATACAGAGGTCAATTGATCACACAAAATCGGAGTGAAAGGCCCATGTGTAGTTTTATATTTCTTGAAGCACATGTGGGTGGAATGGCCCAATCGCCTAGAGGCAAAGCAGTAATCAAGAATATACTCATATTTGAATTCCACCATCTTCTCCCTTACCTCCGGAAAAGTGACCAACGTTTGATGAAGAAGAGGTATGGTGACACCAAAACGCAGAAAGATGCGAACAAAGTGACCTACACAATCGGACCCATCGCGATTATCCACTCCAATAACATCCCCCAACAGAACACCAATGGCCTGAGCAACTACAATCGTCATACAGAACCCTTGAACACCATGTAATTTGACCCAAAAGGTGCTATGCGTCCAAGACATAGAATGCACATTACCATCATGTAGGAGTTCAGCCAACAAGACCGAGGACCATCGATACACCCATGGCTCCATTTCAATGACCATTTTCTGATCCCGACCATTTACAAAGTGCATCCAGAATCTATTGGACCATCACTGTTAACAAGATGATCCACAAGGACCGTGGCCACATGGCTATAGATAAGGCCAATAAAACTATCAGAGATATCTGAATAGCCAATAACACCACTAGCCTATTCAAGCAGGTTAAGGACCAACCAACTCCGAAAGAAGCACTCAATTTAATCAACAAAATCATCCTGATCATGATCTGGAAGGGACATGACAGTAAAATAGGAAGTCATAGAGGGTCACCACAAGCGAAACAAAACAAGTGAAAGAGGCCAACCCCAAAACGTGGTTGCAAAGCTAAGGTAGAAAAATCAATAACCCAAGCTGTCACTCACCACCAGTGCCAATAAGATCCAAACAACCTCACAACCACAAACCGAAGACAAAACCAAACTAACAGGAAACAAAACACTTAGAGAAGATGACCTGAGATGACGTTGGAAAAGAAAGAGAAAACAAAACCCGAGTGGCTCCAAAGCCCTACCGCAAAGAATGACGCACGAAGAGAGAGATATCACCACACACACCCAGTCACCAAAGTAAGATCTGAAGACACCAACAACCTATGCTAACGAGGAACCAAGAGCCAAAGACGATCGGAGAACCATAGTAGACGCTGAGAGCGGAGGGAAGAGAGAGCTAAAACCTTAGCGGCCCAAAGCCCTAGGCATGGAAAGGTTTTTTACTCCACGTCTCTGGGTGAGCAACACTTCTAATTGGATTACTGCTTATAATTGTTGGTTTAAAATTTTGTTCGACTCATTTTACCAATTTAAAAACGATTAAAAAAAAAAACAAAAGAAAACAAGTCTTGATGCGACAAGCCAAGGGATTAGGTGCCAACTAGATCTCTCTTAGGATGTGTGATTTTTTTGGGCTTGCCAACACGTTTGACCACGGTAGCCATGTGTGTGAATGAGTTTGATGTATAGTTTGTAATTGCGCTTGACCTTAACTTTTAAGACCGAGCGATCATGGTCGAGAAAAGAAGACCTCTCGGTCGTTGGTTCTTTTAGCTTGGCAACAAGGCTTTTATATATCGTTTAGCTTAGTGTCCTCGAGCTCGACAACTAGACGACAATCTCACAAATAAACTTGAATAATTGAGAATATTTGTGAAAGTATGGATTAAATGGTGCTCAAAATTAAACTATGAATTAGATCAAAGAAAAACTTTTTTGATATACTCGATGAACAGTTAAAATGGATGGTGCTCAAAAAATTTGATAAACAAATAACTTGTTGATATGATTACATGAAAATTATAAGGAAATAAAAGTAAAGTTGAGAGTGCATTTGAGCAGCGTTTCGACTTGTTTTTTGAGTTGTGTCTTTGATTTTGAAACTACTCCTATTTAGAGCAACTCCAGCAAGGCCCCTTTGCCTCGGGCTGGGGGATTTTTTTCACCAAAAATGGGTTCCAGCGGAGAGCCCAGGCAGGGGGGGAGGTGTGGGACCCACCAACTCGGGTTGGCCTGAAGGCAGCTTCAGCCCGAGGTCCAAAACGAGGGCTGCTGACGTCAACGCTACAGTACCCCCACTACAGTATCCGCTACAGTACCCCCTTGATTTGATTTTTTTTTCTGTTGCCACGTGGCGTTGTCTGGGCTCTCCGATCTGATTTTTTCCTCCAATCCAACGGCAGCCAATTTTTTTGCAATAAAATACTGGAAAAAATTAGGAAATTTTTTAAAAAATTACCCAAAATTAATGAATTTTTTTTCTATAAATACCAGCATTTTTTTTTAAATTTATCTGAAATTTGAAATTGAAAATTTTATCCGATTATGAGATATGAATAGTATTGACACGTAGGAACCTGAAAATATTATCCAAATTAATTATTGTGGTAAAAAAACAGTTGTGAACAAAATAAAAAAATGAATAGTAATTGCCCTTTGCCATGGCAACGGGTAGAAACGGAAAATACTATTTGTAAGGGCAACTACTATTCAAGTGAATAGTAGTTGTCCTAACTCCGCCCTTTCTATGACTAAGGACAAATAGGTGGAGTTGCTCTTATAAAGGGAAGATGCCGCCCAAGTAAGCTTGTCTCTAGACATCTCACCGCCCAAAAAGCATTGCATGTCTGACATGACCTGGTGGCTTCCCCCTCAATCACTAGTCCAAAAATTCCTATTGCCAAGGCCAACCAATGCCTTAGTCGTGTCATCACTTGGTTCTCGGTTTGGGCCCAAATGCCCAACTGAAGTTCTGACTTGCCACGGTCTGGGGCCTATTCTTTCGTAAATGAGCCATCTTCAAGAAGTGAACTTTACAAAAACTAATTTAATTTAAACGGCTAGCCCCGTATTTGACTTTAAAATAAGGCCCTCTAATTTATCCCAAAACAGGGCCCACTAAGGGCTGCAAAAAAACTGGTTTCAAACAACAGTTTTATTACAATGAATACACATTTAACTGCCCATAACTTTGGTTGGAATGGGAGTGTGAGACAAGGACAGTGAGTTTTGTGAATAATTGAACTCTAATTGACGGGTGAAAGTCTTGGGAGCTGCAGTTATAAGTTTCTGAAATATTTATACCCTTTAAAAAAAGGTGTTATTCATTTATCCTATAAGGCCTCTATTATTAAATAAAGACCGATTTTTAAAATAAAGACGTACTTTTTAGTGATTGGACCATTATACTCAAGCTCAATTTATCACGCATGGCATGCAATGATTGATGGGAATAGCAAAACAGTGCTACTCCCGTTTTATACAAGTTTTTTTACCTCAATGAAAAGATGTGGTATAGACAAATGAAAAGATCTGGTCCTTCATGTTTTTTTGAAAAAGAGATTCTTTGTTGTTAAGAGATTCCTGTTCTCTTATATCTATATCATATTCTCTATGGTGTGAGCTTCTTCTTCTATTAAATTATCCCATTATGAATTGAAAAAGAGATTTTTTGTTGTTAAGAGATTCATATTCTCTTATATCTATATCATATTCTCTATGGTGTGAGCTTCTTCTTCTGTTAAATTATCCCATTATGAATTGTCATATTTGGAGAAGTTGGACCTGTTTCAGAAGTATAGGTATTTTGAGGGCTTTCCAAATGCACCATGCAGACTTTTCAGTGAGGAGCTTATTTGAAATGTTGGCTAATATTAATAGAAGTTGACATGCTACGTGTTTACTGATCCAAGATCTTGTTAAATTTCAGAGAGACGGGTCAGTGGACCACTACTAGCAATACCGATATTGTCCCCAACTTAACCACCTACAAAGCCAAGTATGTGTGAAATTTTATTACAAAAGGTCTCGATTATATTAGTAGTGGAACCATTCATTATATATTGTATTTTATTTAGTCAAGTCTCCGATGTGAGACTTATATTCTTCAATAGGTCCACAGTCAAAGGTCCAAATTATATTGGTCCATTAGATTACACCATTGTATCATTGACTTATTTAAGACTTTGAGCCTTCGTAGGTGCAACTGTTTGCCATGTTCGATTGGTGATGAATTAGTGTTTTTTCTCCCTCCATCTTTCAGATAACTGTTTGGAATTCTGTAGAATTGCCCTACCGAAGCGAACCAAACCGAAAAATCAGTATACCAACCTAAGCAACTTAAGGTTAAGGCTCTAAATTTTGGTGAACAGAAGAGCAGTTTGGCCTATCAAAAGTTCGGTTTGGCTAACGGTAGGGTAGTTTACGGAGTCTGACCGGTAGCCAAGCCTAATTTAATCTTGTTCTACGATGCAACTTGGCTCTGATTCATTAAGCATTTATTGCATAATATTATGCAACATATATGCAGGTGGTGACTCAAACACATATATACAATGCCAAAAATAAGAATATATCAATGGAGTTGCAATTTCCTTCTTTCCAAGGTTCCCTAACCGGCAGTTGGTGTTTCAATAGAAACATCAGCTTGTGTGCCACTGGATATGCTGTTTTCCTCAGCTTTATCAGATTCAACAGTCTCCAGTAGCTAGATTCCTAGCAAGTTTTGTATGGTGCTCCAAAACCAGCTGATTCAACATTGCATTCTTAGCAAGGTTTCTATGGTGCTCGAAAACTAGCTGATTCAACTTTGCCTTCCAAGCAAGCCTTGTCTGGTGCTCCAAAAATAGCTGATTCATGATTTGCATCCTAGCAAGCTTTGAATTGTGCTCCAAAACTAGGCGAGTCAAGATTGGCTCCACCGTTTGCCTCCTCGACTGCAACCGCCTTGAAAGTTCTGCGACTATTGAAATTTTGTTGCGAAGTTCCTGCTCACTGAGAACCGAAAATAGAGACAAATGAACCAAAGAATGATGCATCAGGGGAAAATTAACTAGAATGAGAGATAAATAAAGCAAGAGAAAATGGTCGGTCCATCAAATAATCAAGAACATTAAATTGAATTTAAAAAACTGACCTCCCATCTAATACAGCATAGAGTTGCACCGTTTCATCAAGCATGTGAAGTACTTCTGCAGATAAGGCTCCTCTGTCATCACAGTTTGAATAGTATGTAGACCATGCAGCAGTCCAGGTGCCAATAGCTTTCTCCAGATCCAACTTAAATAACAAGGAAAACTCAATACAGTTGTTGCTCATTGTGCAATCTAAACCGTAAAAGAAATCCCGAAATAATTACCTTGATTGTGGAGGCCTCTGAAGATAAACTCCTCTGATCTCCTTCCTTCTCCAACAATTGTAAACCTTCAATTATTTCCCAAAAGAGATCAAAATCCATTGGAAGGCTACTTTGCTTGCTATTTCCTGTGTTTTGGACCTTATCTGTTACCAAGCTGGGGGTGTGTGGTACAAGCTTAGAGCAGTTGGCCTCATTTGAATCATAAGCTGAAGGCGCAGCAGAGCAGTAACTTTTAGCTTCTACCACCATGGCTTCAGATTGACCTCGTGAAGATTGAACATGAATGTGCGGTTTTGAGAACAATGTTCTCATCATTTCGTCAATGCACAGGTTGCCCTTCATGTCAAAAAAAATGGCATCTGAACAAATGAACCTAGAACAATCGATCCCGAAACTTGCAACTACCAAAGGATTACCAATTTTCTTAAAGGCTTCCTCAATCAGATTCACATTTATACTAGGAGAATTTTGTCCAAATATAAGTCTCCTGAGGACCTCACAAAACTCCTTTGGTAGTTGCTCAGTGATGTAGTCCCTCCAAATCAGTTCTAAGAGTATGCTAAAACACACCCCAAAATTAAAATAAAGCAAGCATAAGATGACAACCAATCTCAGGATGAGCAGTGAATAATACTTCTCCCAATCCTTGATAGACTTTTGAATCCATTCAACCACGGTGTTCTTATCATAAAGCAAATCCCAAACCACATCAATCAAAAACTGAAGGATGACTTCAAAACATATTGGCACATCAGGCCTAATACTGGAAGTAAATTTTGTATCTTCCCGCTGGTGTATCAGCCATTCAGTAAAACAAGATTTTGTAGTGATAACATACCCTTGTAAGCAGGACACCCACATCAGAAGGCGTTCTACAAGATACAACAAGCAATCAGGTGACAGATAGTCACGTTCTCCCTCCCAGTTTGCATAATAAGTGTCATCCAAAGCTTTGTGGAACCACCACGGAAGAGACTCCTCTTTCGGTTCTTGACATATGTTCTTAATGAACACCTTCCATGGTGAACTACAATGCAAATTATTCACAAGCTTCGCATACAGTTCATTATTAAAATTGCTAGTGCCAAGAATAATCATTGCAATCCTTCCTACTTGCCCATAAGACAGCTTTTTCTTTGAGCTCATATAATCAACTACAACTTTCTTGAGTAAACTTTCACAAGCATCGTTTTGTCTCAGAGAAATCATATTCTCTCTCAAAGATTTCCTCCAATCTAAAGGAAATATGCAAGCAACAATGTTTTCAGTTGACAGATTAACAAAATTCTGTAGTGTATTTAAATCTGTATACGCTAGCTTCAGGCATTTGGACTCCAGAAGACAGTTTGCAACCACATAAATCTGGGTAAGACACCAGCTTTGGCAGAAAATTGAATCAGATTTTTCGGTCATGAATTCGTAAAGCACTTGAAGCTTGTTCAAAATCTTAGTACTAAAAGAGAGTAGTTCTGAACTCCAATAAATCTTAGCAGATGAAACAATTTGGCAAAAATCAACAGTGACCAATTCACCATTACTTAGAAAATAACGTTTATCCACACCACTAACCCAATCAGCATCAGAGATGAGTGAAAGATATATTGGATTCAAATCATCATGAAACTCCCCCAACACCGCCAAGTAATTTAAAAAGAAGTCTCCATCACTTCTTTTATTAACGTCTAGAGTTTGAAGAGATCCAAAATATTCTATCAAATAAACAATCTTATCCATCCAAAATTTCCAAAAGTACACCAGTGAATCAATAGAAACCTGCTTTTTAGATATCTTGATTTCAGAATACTTTTTCAGATCACAAATAATATTTTCTTCCCACACATACTTTGATGAGCTTGAAGAAAGATGAGTATTCAAAAATTTTCGCCCAGATAACATTTCACCTTTAACAAGTTTCATCTTGGATCTGTTATCTTCAACCTTATGATAATGAAATGCACAGCTCTCAAGAAAATCCAGTTCAATTTGATCCATACCTTTTCCTCTTAAAGCCAGATCATACTCTTCTCTTGCTTGTTGCTTCCAAAATTTAATATATTCCAAACCTCTGTCAAATAGTTTTCCCTTCAAACACATAGTTAGACACTCGGAGAAAAATTTGCCCCTGGCATATGCATCGGCTGCATGCTCATAGAATCCTGCTAGAGAGAAGCATTTGCCAGCTCTTTCAAGTCCACGTTCGCCGCACTTTTCCATATAAATATTAGCTGCATAAACAAACTTTTATAGTTGAGACATGCCACAAAATTGAATATTCAAATGCAACTAATGATACTCTGAAAGGTTTCATCACAACACAGTAGCCTTTAAAGTATCATATGACTGCTGGAAGGATAAGCAGAACAAATGTCAACTTCATACCTGCCCTTTCATACTCCCCCAAATAATAGAAGCATCTGGCAGCAGAATCTGCTTTGCCAATAGATTCAAATATTTCGGCTGCATGCTTGTAGCATCCTACTAGAGAATAGCATTCTGCAGCTCTTTCAAGTCCAGGTTTTCCACATTTGTCCAAATAAATCCTAGCTGTACCAATACAATATAACACTTACGACAAGCAACAAATATGAAGATTCAAGTTCAATGTGTAACCGTGAGAGGTATCATCAAAACAAAATAGTCATTTTGGCATGAATGCTGGCAGGATAAAGATAACAGAAGTTAATATCATACCTGCTCTTTTGTACTCCCCAGAATCAAAAAAGCATTGGGCAGCAGAATCTGCCTTCCCTAAAGATTCAAAAATTTCTCCAGCTTCCTTGAGGAGAGCATTAGCCTTTTCAGGATTTGAAGTGCGCTTAAGGTCAGCCATAACTTTCAGGCCAGCCGCTTTCGACCTTCCTTCCCAATAAGTATCACCAGCTCTTTGAAAACACATTGTGGCCATTTCAAAGTTATCCTCTTGATAGAGCTGGATGAAACAAATAAACTGGATTAGATTAATACAATTGAAATTAATGTTCATACATACACTACGCTTTAAGGCTTAAGGTGACCATGATGATGATTATGATGCTTAAAATGATCATATCAGTCAACTGTGATGAAATTTCAAAAATTAAAATAAATTTAACACCAAATACAAAAAAATAAATATAAAATTAAAAAAAATCGTTTTATTAACTTAATTACTAGCACCATTGTAAACTAAACAAACCTTCATGCCACGTGACCCCCACTCCTCTGGATTGCTCTGAGCTTGCATTTCCCTTGCAAGTGAATCATCGAAGTGCCTAAATTGCACAAGGCGTTTCCTTTTCCAATAGTTAAACATGGGATTGGATAGCCCTTCCATATTCTCATAAACCCACAACCTTTGTTTAGTACGAGAGACAGCAACATATAGTTGCTTAAGTTCGGAACATAAGATGTTGTGTTTGTCTTCATCAAAACTTGGAAAGTGCTCAGGTAAAGAGGAGTCAAGCAAATCATGCTCCTTCATGTAATCATATATCACCCTCCACTGATTTTGCAATGGTGATGATCCAAAAAAGTTGTAAAGCAGTACATCCTACAAGAACGAACAAACCAAATATATATTTCAATCACATCGACAACATCAGCTGTACATAGTTCTGCATAATTTAATAGATTTGCAACAAATCTCTTTTCAATGTCTGATGTGAACCTTACAATAATAATCGTTTGAAGACAAAGCCAAAAAGATTTCCAGAAAGATAAAGAAAAACAATTGGAATAGTCTTGTAGTGGCCGGAGAATTATTGTGGATCACAACACAAATATATGAAAATCCTCAATGGTAATATGTTATATAGAATTAAACAAACTAAATAAGTAAATGTTGTAATGACCTGAAATTCAAGGCCCTTGCTCTCCAATATAGTAAGAACAAGAGCTCGCTTTGCAACTTGATTGGAAATTTCGTTCCGAGCATGCTTATCACGTACCAAAATAACCTGCTCCGCTCCAAAGCCAACTATATTTCCATGAAAAGTATCACTACTTTCAAAAATCTTCATGATTATATTCTCATTTTTTACAGGTTCAAGCAAAACTGGAGCTTCCCCACATATTGGACTGGTTTCAGGTTTCAATTTATCAATAGATTGGGGGAAGAAATGGTAAAGTAGATCAATTATGCTCTGTGATAACTTCAGTATACCATCATGCGTACGGAAGTTTTGAGACAAATGAAACATTTTTGAGATTTGTCCTTTGTCTTCTCTTTCTTCGTGTTTATCTCTTTTTGATTCCAGTACGAATTCCTTGTAGAACATGTGTCGTATATCTTGGAATCTAAAATCAATACCCCTTGCAATTGCCTGTGCAGTATCACCAGAAAAAACAAAACCCTCTTCAACATTACTGCAAACGTGTTTGAAGAGTCTAATCTGATTGACTGTTAGATCCTGAACCTCATCAATATATACAAAATCCATTTCATGACCCTTGTACTTTTCACGTCTGAGTCGACGGTGAATATCATTAACAAAATCAGTGACATCAAATTCAACATTTTTCTTTTTCTTTTTTTCATAAACCAGAAATATATCATATATCATCTCCCTCTTCTCCTTGCTTAGATTTGACGCCCGGCCCTCTGAACGTTGGACATAATCTCCTCGACTGAGTTTTCCATCACCTGCTTCTGTGATTCCCAGGCCGCCTTTGATATGAGAGATAATCTCTGTAAATACTTTAGAAGGATCAAGCTTCTTTGTTAGCTGTATATTAAAATGAGGCCAATAAGAAGTGCTGAACCTCGCAAGATTGACCTCCTTTTGTCTTAGAACCGTCTGCAGAGCAACTGATCTTGAACTTGGCCGAGGTTCTGAGGTGTCAAGGAATCTTTCAAAGAATGAGTTACCTAGGGTTCCATCAAGCATCATCAAGAACTTATGGAATGTTACGAAAAGAGGATAACAGTTGGGCGGAATATCAAGAAAAGAATCTGGGATATTGTTGAACTGGGCTTCTTTATCCTCAAAATCAATGCTATCAGTCGAACTGCATTCACCTGAATGGTTTCCCCCAGAAGAAAAACTGACGACATACAAGTTATGTTAATATCAATATATACAATTATTCATCTTCAAGTGGCACATAAGAAGTATGACAATTAAAGAGCAACATCAAGACCAAGGAAGAAGATGCAAACTTTAACCTAGATGACCAAGAAGCATGGTATTATAGTACACATACATGCATGAACAGTTAGTTTGAAGCTTCCATAATTTGTCCTCAGAGACAGAAAATACTAATGATATAATAAATCATTATAATTACTAGTTTTTTTCAAACGATTTTCCTTATATATAGCTCAAGCATTTACTTACTAATTACACATAGAACTTTCCTTATATATACAGGTACTATACTATATTATTATACACGTAGATACTAGGAAATAAATGGAAAATATATATTTATGATGGAACAGAAAGCAGCAATCTTTGCATCTAGCAGCGCACGTCATTCAGAAAAATATTTTTTTCTAAACAGCTAATGTAAGAAGCAGCTAACATCTATTTGTCGAACAATCCTCGCACCTTTTCAAGTGTAAAACATGTTGCTTGACGGCAAAACAGAGTTTTGCACTCACTGTCACCAAAAGCTGGCGCAAGACACACATATTAGCACCAGTAGGACTCTGCTCAACCGGAAAAACATGCGAGAGTGCATTCTCAACACCATAGAATCCTTCCTCTGCAATACGTTGCTGCTGTTCTTTCTGACATAATTTCATTGTAAGAACTGTTGTCTTCCCGGTGCCTGAGCGTCCCAGTATAAATGTACTTCTATTATAACGGACGATCTCCATTTCTTGATCTGTAAGTTGAAAGGGGAGATCCAGTTCTCTACCTTCACTGTCAGATAGCAAGAAGTTTGCCACTCCAGATGATAAGGAGTAGAATTTCATCAGTAACAAACTCTCACTAACATTTGATTTCTCAACATAACTTCTATCTGCTGAAGAGTCACCAAGTAAATAACTTGGGCTTTTTTGGGTGATGCTTAAATCTTCAAACCGGGCAACATCCAGAGCGGGGGGCCAGCTGGCCGGAATTTCCAAATCACTGCTCATGAAAGACAAACCAGCAATAGTCTACTTAAAAAGCAAAATTTGAAGATGAAACATTTGTATCTTTATATGATTCCAAACAGGAAACACAGTATAATTTCAGGCAAGATCAATTCAGAAATACTAGGATGACAAACAACATACCCGTCCAGACATTTCTTTCTGCAGAGACTGATAAAACCATCTGTGTATGTTTTAAATATACAGTCTAATTGATCAACCAATTTCTGGACGTTCAACAGATCAGGCAATATATCCCAGATCTTCAACACTTGCATGTATCTCCTATCTTTTTCAATGTCAGTAGTGCAAACAATATATATACCTTCGACCTTAAATTTCTTCCAGATCATTGAAGAGCTTTTACAATTCTTTTCTACATTTCTTTTATTGGGTCTCCATCCACTCGAAAGCTTAAGCAGAAGAAACAGCAATGACATCTTCACTCGGAATGACTTCAGTTTTTTGAATGATTTCAAAAAGTTGTCACTGAAAAGGACCTAGGAAAATTCAGAGGATGAATATTTATAAGTGTCATCGCAAATGTTTGGAAAATAAGAGGAGAAAAAAGAAAGAGGATTAAAAACATAAATCTGAGAAAACAAAATTGTACCTTCCATCTAGCACTTTTGTTATTGTCGATTGCTTTCCATATTTTGATGTTAGGAGTTATATTGATTAAGAAAACCATAAGGAGAGATGGCTGAATGCCATTGCAGACTTGAAGCTCTTTCGATGCTTTAACTTTAAAAGAACGATTGGACACTTCAGTGACTATCAGAAATGCCCATGATTTCTTTGACTCCTGTATATCTGAAATACTTCCGGGTTTAGCATCTGACAGTAAAAAAACATGTCCAGGCTGAGTTTTATTTGGTTCCTTGCAGGAATCACTGGACATGTTTCTCCAGTAATCAACCTCGACATCATATAGCTTTTTTCCATATGGCTTCGATTCTTCTATAGCAGTTACTTCACGGAATGGTGCTCTGTCAAGAGTTTCCATACTAGAATGTAACTGAGCTCGAGTTTCGTCTAGTAACGGATATGAAAAAGACCCAAAATAATTCTGAACCGAATGCAATGATTCAGTGACAAATCAAATAATAAATGTCAGTCCTTAAGTAGAAGCAAGAGTGCTAGCAGCCACATGATAATGTCTCAATAAATGAAATATTTTGTACATAGGCTCATAAAATTTAGAACACAGAAGAAGATTATCTTGTGTAATTCAGAGCATGATGTTTTCAGAAGCATGCATACTTTATATTCAAATCAACCTTATCAATGAACAAATGCATAAAGAATTCCTTGCAAAATTTAAGTAGTAATTGGTTCCGATTTATACATAGTTAATCATGTTCTTGCATTAGGTTGTAGTTGCAGTGTTCTAGTACCACACAATAATTTCTCTTTCAGAGTCAAGAACCACTAAAGAATTATAGTAGGCTACATGAGCAATTAGACTAATGAACTCCTACTTAATGAATTGCTGATGAAACAAAACAAAGAGAAAGATGACAATTTGGGAGATTATATAGCAATTGAATACCTTGTGCTTGTAAAGATTGTCGTTAACGATATCTTCAAGAGACCAAGAAAGCAAAATGTCGGTGAAGCTATCACTCTCAGAACCTTCCATCATGTCCTCACACTGCATATACTTCGATCAAACATATTATATATCTATTACAACGATATATGTGATGCAACTTCTACTCTCTTTTTTTAAACTTTGTTTTCTTTCGTAGATCCTCTTTTAAAACTGGTTCATTACATGCATGTAAAGATTAAACTCATGCATGTAAAGAGTACTGGGTAAGCAGAAAATAAAAACAAAAAGAAAAATCAGAGAAAATGTGTCTTACATGAATCAAGAACGATAATCTGATGCAGCTTTTTTTTTTTTTTTTTTTTTTGGCCTTGAAAAAAATGTGTTTTCTTTTGTTTGGTTCTTTTCTTTTTCCTTCAGCTTCTTCAATTGTTGTTCAAGTTTTTGTTAATTGGAATTATTAATTAGCTAGTAATTAGAAGTGCTAAGCCTTGGTGAACGTGAAGAAGTGGAAAAGTTGGATGAGAAAAGTCTGACAAAATACGTGGAGAAGTTGAAGGGGTTTTAGTTTTTCCATGCGACTCCTGTTCTTCCACTTTATGCTACGCTGCAGCATCAGTTCGCTATGGGATTTTATTTTCCAAATTTCAAGATTATAGGTCTCGGGCACTCTCCTCGCGTGAACACAAAAATTCATCATGCGGCTCTCAATTTTATTGAGTAGAGGACTTTTGAATGCGGAAAAAAGACATTTGAATTTGGGGCTCCTTTTTCTTTTTTAATACAAGCGATCCCATATAGTTACAGGTGTCAAACATGGCTCATTTAGGCAATTTAATAAGAGTGCTGTTATTTCCACCAACCTGTCATATTTTCTCACTCACCTTATCTTTAAAATTTTAAAGACAAATTTACCCATTTGTGAAAAGACTTCTAAGGACTTAGAGAAAATGATTAAAAACCAAAACAATTGCCTCAACCTTAAGATTAAAAAATAAAATAAAATAAAGGTTAAAAAAATCCAAAGCACAAATATCAAACGTCAAATTTCTCGCTTCCCAAGTACATGAGCCTTCAGTATATATATTTTTGTTCAAAGCCTTTAGAAAACTGAGAACAGCCAACAGCTTGTAACTATGAGCGATTCTTCAAATTTCCTATCTCATATTGTTGCACTTTCTCTACCATCCTCTATTCCAAGATCTGATTGGTTTTCAACATAAGTTATGTTCATAACTCGTGAAAATGAAAGAATCATATCCTAGCATTAATTCATCCCATTGGCATTTGATTAAAGAATAAAAGTTTCTTCAATTGCCCAATTTTTCCTCATTTTCGTACCAGCCCCAGTGTCGTTATTGGAGATGTATTGTTTTGTATCCTCAAAAATTTTTTAAACGAAATATAAATCACCCGTAAATAGTGAGAAGTTCAATTGTTTGTGAAACTAAAGTGCAATGAAGGGTGAGATCTTGGTGGTTTATAAACATACAAAGATTCAGACCATTTGTTCTTAGTTTATAATATGGTTTTCATAGCTTTTGGAAGAAAAGATTTAAACAACTAGGAACAAATAATCCGAATTCATTGTACAATAAATGACATCACTAGTTAACAGACCTCTTTAACTTATAACTTGCTTTAATTAATAATTAAAGGGTGTTTTAGGAATAATAGTGGGTGGAAAGATAGGATTGTGTTTTTTCAAATTTATATAGTGGGTGGGAAGATAAGGTGGGTGGGAAAATATGATAGGTGAGTGGAAATAGCAGCACTGTTTAATAAACGGGCAAGGGCAAAGCCCGTCTATTTATGAAAATCATTAAGTCCAACCCAAATCCACAGCCCTAGTCCATATGTGACCAGATCGAGCTTGTGCAGGGTCACTAACCAGGCCAAATTTCGCCACGAAAACTTTCATCATCAACTTCGTCACAAAAGACTCGTCGAGAAGGTCTCTTGACAAAACAGTGACTTCGCTTGGAAAGATGAACCCTTAGCCTGCAAAATGTTTGACCTTACCTAACAAAATGTTTGTTACGTAAAGATTCTCATGCCGACGAATGAGTTTTCTCGTGAATGTTTTTATCTATGCACACACATGCATTTGCCCTGAAGTGTGCATTTTGCCGACAAAATACGTTTTACTAGGAAAGATATTTAATTTTTTAAAACAATAATAAAGTTATTTATACTAACACTCCCTGAGGTTTTCTATGTTTTCATAAAACCCCATGATATTTCAAAAAATACACAAACATCCCTGTGGTTTTAAATTGTTTTCACAAAACCCCTTTTCGTTGATTTTAAGTCCAAAGATTGATGATTTTATATAACAAATTTATTCAAATGATAAAGCTAGCCTATGATATTATATTTCACATACATTCATTAAGGTTAATTTTGTCATTTGCAAAAGTTTTTTTATTTTATGAAATCATCAATTTTTGGAAGAACAATCAACGAAAACGGGTTCTGTGAAAACAATTTGAAACCTCATGGGGGGGTTCGTGTAGTTTTTGAAACCTCAAGGGGTTTATTGAAAATACTGACACACTTAGGGGGTGTTAATGTAAATAATGCAAAAGATAATCCCTCTCTTATTAATGAAATTAAATAAGTATTCCTCATAAAACAAGTTTACATGAGTGTTCGAAACAGAATACAACCAACACAACTGCTATGAGATTTTGCGTAATGCAATCCTTGGATTGAAGTTAAAAAAAATTCAACAAAACTATATATCTATTAATACATTAATAAACAATCTAATTGTAGAATCGAAGTGAAGCAGCTACTCTATTACACTCGAACTTCCTTAATCAAATTAAAACACGAGTCGTTGCAGTCCATACTCAAGCTTAACTGATTGTACCACTTGAAAATGATGTGAACCATAGACATGCATAATATATGTAGAACCATTTGATGGAAAACGTATGATATACTGACTTGAAATCATGGCACCTGTTGGAGAACAATCTAAATAAGAGCTCTAATAATGTATATGATAACAGAATTTAATTACAACTAAACTATATCAATCGAATTGTAAAATAAATCCAACTGAAATTCAACGTTACTATGAAACAATATGTAAATAAGTAGGGGAAGTGCACTGACTGATAGAGGCTTGCAGATGCAATGTCCACATACAGAATTTCGCCCCTACACTCATACCTTGTAATTCATTAGGCATTTGTCCCCATGATACAACTATCAATAATAAAATATCCAGAAATTTGGATTTTGAACTCCGGCGAAATATGTTTATTTTTCTCTCTCA